ATTTTTTTAATAAAACGACGTTGTTTTTTGGAATTTTCTTTAAAAAAAAACATATAGTGACCCCCTTTGACTCCTCTAATCCAGGAGTCATCGAAACCCGGTCGGATTTTGGGGGTCGGAGGAGTCGATATGCATGTAGGGTCCAACTTGTGATCCCAACCTTCATAGGAGAGGAATCAGGGTTGACTCGGGTCAACCCGAGAGCAGAGTGGAGTTTTAAAACACCGGGTAAAACAAATGTGTTGCGTGCTTCTCCGATGGAAAGGAAAATAGAATAATAGTTAGCTAATTGATCACATTTAACTTGCTCATTTTCATCATAGCTTTTTTTAAAGTTTCAAGCGTAAGATGAACCGTTGAAAATGCAAAGATAATGTGAAAAAGAAATTTAACTCATTTGGAAATGACAGTTGTTTCCACATGAGATGTTGGTCTATCGAAGAAAAAGAGACCATACAACAATCATCACTAAAATCCAAAAGTTATATAAAAAGGAAAGAAAAGAAAACTCATTCTGCTTGTTACTCGAGGGATTTGGGGAATCTCAGAACCTTATGAGTTACGCTCACACAGTCACACCCTAACAACCATATATATTCAATACTTTCTTTGTAGTACACTGAAAATAAAGAAAGGAAGCCCTCAGAAAGTTTTGTATTGTTCTCTTAGAATCTCAGTATAAGAAATGATCTTTCAGTTATCCTCTTAAAAGATATATCGCCACGAGACCTAAACACAACTAAATGGGAATTATATTCAGAAGGACAGCTAACGAGAGATCCAACTCCTCTTGATAGGATAACTAATGGTAACGTTGACTACGTTAACTACTTCTTTCTCATCAATTATTGCGCTTGTCACACTATTTCTTTCTCATCAATTTTTTCTAGTAATTTGGTTCTCTCCTCGAATGGGACAATTGGGGTTAGAAAAGAATAGCATAGAAAAAACGAAGAGAAAAAAAGTTCTTTATTGCATTCAAAAACTATTTCTAAGACCACTTTTCCGTGCAGCCTATGTACAACTGAGGCTAACTGTAGAAACCTAAAAAATATAAATTAATTGACCAAAATCATATAAATCACAATAACTCCGTATCTTATAGATTCTGATTGAACCCCTACAAAAAAAGAAAAGAATAAAAGAAGGGAAATATTAGTCTCCTTTTACATGAGATAGCTTATCTCATTTTCTCTCACTTCGATTTCCGCACCTCACTTTTTTTTTTCTTTTTCTTTTTTCTTGTAATGGTGGGACCCACCTAGTTTCTCTCTACAACATAAGATACCTATCTTATGTAAAAGGAGATTAGTAAAACCCATAAAAGAATATCTTATTAAGATATCTTCACTTGTTCTGCCTGGTTTTTTTTTTTTTTATTTGATGAAAAATATAACTCATGACACACAATAAAAAGAAAGGCAACAAAAGCCAACCGCTTAGCATGAAGATGAACATATGTTTCGAAGAAGCTAATGTATAGAGACTATTCCCGAACTGTTTAGAAGGGAATAGAGGAGACTAATGTATAGAGACTATTCCCGAACTGTTTAGAAGGGAATAGAGGAGACTAATGTATATATATAGACTATTCCCGAACATATGTTTCTAAGCTAATGACCATATGTTTAGAAGGGAAGAGCATGCACGGAATGACCGTCCTTTATGCCTCCTGGTGCCGAACTGTTATGCATAAGCAAATCAGACATAAGTTTTTCACGATTTATTTTGTGATACACATGTTAAGCTCTTTATGCAAGCTTAGAATTTTTATACTGTGAAATGAACATCTGTTCAAAATAAATGTGACTCCTATTTTTTTTTCGTTTAGTATACCGACCCTAATTAATTTTTTGAGATGAGTTGGTTCTCAGATATTTCTATAAGTTTTGATTCTTTGAGTCGAGACTTAGTCACAGCTAAAACCTCTTGCTCCTTTTTAAATATGTATTTGGTGGGAATCGAATATAGTTTTTCTCCTCATCTACTTTGCCTATGTTGTCAAGTGAGCTACACCCATTAGGTAAGGTGACTCCTTTCAAGTAAAGTGACAAACCATATAATAGTTAAATTAAGACTTCATCTTAATTTAAAACTATAAAACAATAAATTTATATCTTTTCATTTATTTGTACCTCCTTATCTAAGTTATTTGTAACCAACGGGATTTCATGTAGAGATATATAGTCCCACATTGATTGGATGGGCGACTAATATGGCCTTTATAAGGACTTGGGCACTCCCACGCCTTGAGTTAGCTTTTGGGGTGGTGACCTCATGGTTCTTAACTTTGTATCAGAGCCTCACTGTCCCCCGCTTTAAAAAGTGGAATTAAAATAAAAATAAAAAGCACAAAAAGGTAAACAAAAAATGGCCTGTGCAATTTCCACGCTTCTAGCCTAAAGGGCTCTTGCGTAAGGGGGCGTGTTGAGATATATAGTCCCACATTGATTGGATGAGAACTAATATGGCTTTTATAAGGCCTTGGACACTCCCACCCCTTGAGCTAACTTTTGGGGTGGTGACCTCAAGGTTCTTAACTTTTCATCCTTCACAATTAAATTTGGTTGACATGATTTTAGCACATATTCAAAGTTTGAATGAAAAAATGGAATCTGAAATGTTTTATAAAGATGTAAGTGTTACACTCATTCTTCATCATTAAACACACTTTCATTTAATGAATTTAATTTATTAATTATATGAGTTGTTAGATATACGTGTGGGATCAATGACTAAATGATTATATGTAAGATTTCTTATTCATACGTCGGTGTAAAAATAAAAAATCTTACATTGAATCACACACACAGAGTTTAAGGAATAGGAAATAACTAAGTGTACTTAACCTCTTTTCAAAACTTAGAAGGAAATAAGTGCATTTAACCTCTTACCAAAATTAGAAGGAAATGTCACAATCAAGTGAGTTAACTCACACACTAGTTATCGACATATAAAGTTGAAGAACACAAATTGGATTTTCCTCTTCCCCATTCTTAGTTTGTGATTTCTTAAAATTTTAAGTCATCCTGTGTAGTCTTGGGCTAACTCAACTCTATACGCGCATGTAAAGTATCAAATACTTTTAGATATTTGACCTAATATATGCCTAATATCCACAAATTTTCTGCTATGTAAATTTCTTACCGCTTTCCCCGCCCCTTCTTTTTAGATGTACCAATAAAGAATATATAATTATAGTAGGGTTATTGGTCTAGTGCCAATCCAGCTAAATCACAAGGATTAATCTATCTAAAAAACAGCAGGTTCAATCATGACAATCAGAATTTATACGAAAAATCAAAGGCTCAAACTCAAAACTAAATTAATGGGACGGATTAGAGTTTCAAAAAATAGTTAATATGTATTAAAATAAATAAAAAAATAACTTGCCCTATTAAATACACTCCACAAGATGGAATATCTTGGCAACTATAAAATTTAAGCTTTTCTATATTATAATGTATAGTATTCTCGGCAAAGGATGTTAATCAGTCTATGTTGGTTTGCCTTTTCCCCCTTTCAAGGTTCGATACATAGGCGGCTCAACAAGATCATTGCCGACAACCAAGTTGGTCCCCCCCAATTCGAAAGCACATAACCTCCCATAACGTTAATTCCGCATCACTTTTTTTTTATCTACCCTTTTTTATTTTATATATTTTATAAAATTATAAGCCTTACTTTACCTTTTTTATCTATAATATTGTCGCGATTTCCCCTTCTTATTATTTTTTTATATATTTTATAAAATTATCAGCCTTAATTTTTCTTCAACGCTTATCAATTCTATGCATTAATTTACTTTTTATAATACGTATCTCACCTCAAAAAATCTAAATCTTTTCAGTAAGTATCATTTACATCAATAATTCATTGCTCAATTATAAATCTACAATAGACTCTTAGAATTATTAACTAATATTAAAGGAGATATGTATGCAAATATTTTTTTTCTTGAGACAACAAGCTTCATATACAAAATCTAAAAGTGATTTTATTCTCACATCATTTTTACACTTAAAATATTCAATACAAATTTTTTATTGTTATTATTGATTTATGTGTGATGTTGTGCCCTAGAAATCGCGGATATGAACAAAGTTATTTGAGGAAAGATCCGTTTATAAAAAAAAATTATAAATTTTTGCAAATTACATTATGTACTCCCGGAAGTACATAGTGTAACCTAGTGTACTTCCGGGAGTACATAGTGTAGTTTGTAAACAAAAAATTTATAAATATAATCCTCCCCAATTATTTATTTAAAGTCCTAAAATATGATGTGTGCCCCTATTTATTTATTAATATTATCGTCCTTTTTTCTCTCATAAGAGGTACTATATATCATGTGGATTACATTCAGGTCATTAGGAAGCCTTGCAGACCAAAGAAGTATATTTAATTATGCATAAGATATAAAAGGACAAAAGTGATATTACGATGTGAATTGTTTTTTCATATACAATCAACATGCTCCTCACAAATCGCACCCAAAAAGATAATTATATAGAAGGGGAAAGAATAAAGTGCAATATTATTTAAAAAAAAATTACATACAAGGAACTTGAAGATTGAGGCCCTGTTTGAATACTGTTTCTAAAAACAGCTTTTTGGTTTTCAAAACAAAAAAAAATAAAAACAACTTGTTTGATAAAGCCTTTTGTAAAAAAAGTTTAAAAAATTGTAATTATTTTTTGTTTTTAAGATCAAATTTAAAGAATATATCTAAGTTGTTTTTGTTTTGTATTTTGACTTTTAACTTTCAAAACAAAAAAGACACATAAATACTTATTACCATAATTATTCTACAAAACAATATTAAGAAAAAAAAACCGAGAACACAATAAAAAAATCATCGTTCAATGTTTTTCCTTTCCATCTATACAAAGATTCCCTCTTTCAAATATCCTGTAGTCGAGGAAGAGTATCTAATATTTATTGAACAAGATCTGATTTTGGGCCAATAATCACTTAAGGGGAGTAATCCTGCTCAGAAAATGGCCGAAGAGAATCATCATAATGTATTGGCTACTTCGGACAATGATGAGAAGAAGATTATTCGTCGGGAAATTGAAAGAAAAAGGAGGAAGCAAATGTCTATTCTATGTTCATCACTCCGGTCTTCACTCCCTTTTGAACTCATCAAGGTCTTTAACTTCTAAATTTTCCTCTTATTGCCATCAATGCATGTTGTATATATTGCTGTTCTCATAACAGCTTTTATATATATGCTTAGGTTTTTATTAAATAGTGGCTAAGTCACTATGCAGCCAGTGAGGGTTGATAATATATGCGATGGATTGAACATTTCACCCATATTATCCATGCCTTCGATTCGATTATCAAATTTTCCTCATTGACAGGGGAAACGTAAATCCACCACTAATCCTCAATAAGGTTGATGATATTCTCTAACCTTAAAAGGAGGACGTGTCTTCCCTAAATCTAAACTTTTTATTTAAAACAAAAAAAACAAAAAAAAAAAACAAAAAATCACTGCACAGCTCCTTTCATCTTACTCTAAGGGGAGGAGGTAATATGTAAGATTATTTGCATAATTAAAAATGGGTTTTAGATTTTGCCTCTTCATGTGGGGTTACAGGGAAAGCGTTCGGTTTCAGAACACATAGGCGAGGCTGCAAATTATGTCCAATTTATGAAGCAGAAGATTGATGCACTCCAAATCAAAAGAGATAGGCTCAAACAGATGGTTAATTTAAGTTTGGTTGAAACTGGAATTGAAAGTTCAGATCATTCAAGTGTACTGGTGAAGTGTGTCAACATCAATCTCATTCCAGGCGGTGTGGAAATAGCACTATGTAGTGGTTTCGAGGAGAACAATTCACGTTTATCAGATTTGATGGAAATATTGCTTCAAGAAGGATGTGATGTTGTTAGCTATGTTTCGACCAAAGTTAATGGGAGAATATTTCATACCATTAAATCTGAGGTACCTTGCTACTTATATAAGCAACTTTTGTGTCTGCTAGCTAGCTAGTACTCAAGGATATCTATATATATCAGAGTTTGGACAATTACATATATAAGTGTAAAAGTTTTATATGAGTATATGAAATTCTTCAACAGGTGGAGGAGTTGAAACGCCTTGATCTTGCTAGGCTGCAACACAAACTGGATCATGCAATCTTGTTGTCAGGGTAATTATCACAATTGCAAACTGGAATATATATCGTGCAATCGTACCATTACTGCATATAAGGGTTTTCTACTACTCATCGTTTTCATTGTCCTTTTAATTTTCTACATTTCCTATTAAGCACATGAATAGAGGAACTGTAAGCCCTTTGTGTACTTAAATACGAAAGAACTACTCCAAACACAATTTGCCTCGTTAAGTTGACAAGTAGTTTTTGATAACAAGAAGATAAGCAGTAGTTAATTATATGACTAAATAATGCATCTATTCTAGTAGGTAGTGCGTTTTGGGACTGAGATACTCTAGCCATAACATGTAAACATGAAGACTCAAACAAGTTCAAGTTTTAGATAGAGCGACGTACAATATTTTGCGATTTTGTGAATGACTATGAATTAATAATTAATCAATTTCTAGTTAAAAATTATTATTATGATTCATTCCTTGATATCAGAGAGTGAAAAAGGAAATTTTACCCCCGCCATTATTTAGCAAATGAATTGGTGACTACAGAGAATTATGCCTTTTGCAGAGGTATATATAAAATCTGATCCTTTTGCTGTATGAAATTGGAATTAAATAATTTGATAGAGAGATATAATATAAAAATTATTAATGGGCTTTCACTTGATTTTTATATTGTATCTCTCTAATATACCCCATCACACAAGAGTTCTTTGAACTTGAAACGTGGATATTGCATAGACCTACGTCCTATCTTGTGCTAACTTAATTCCATTACAAAGTAGGGGCGGTGAAAATTGAACTTGTGACTCTGTGATCACCTTGCTTTTTATACCATGATAAGCAATCAATTCAATTCAACTCAATAGCTTAAGCTTTGAAGTGAAGGCCCATGATTTTATTATAATATATCTTTCTAACATAATTGTTCAAGATGTAGCTTCTAATGTATAATATAATTCATCTATGTCAACTCAACCACAGACTGACACAACATAATCGAACTGAAAAATCATACATTAATAAGAATGCAATTTTGTAACAAGTTGGGGAAACAAATCAAGGTGAATCGGACTGACACTTTTATCAACTCAGCAAGTTTCTGCAACAAAGCTTGTGGTAGAATATCAATTACACACCAGCAGATCATATGCGCCAATCTGAAATATCAGATTATCGTATGTAATTAAGACCATCAAACAAAATCCCAAATATGAATGTGTGTTTCTCTTCAACAAATAGGAGATGTGTGATATAATATTGGAGGAAAAGTGTTGCAAAATAATGTTCATCTGATATTATATTTTAATTTGTATTTTTGAAATTAATGCATACAAATACATGTGTATACCCTTTCAAGAGTAACCGATTGTTGAAGCAAATTAACTGGCTGAATGGTTTGACACCAATTACAAGTCAGATAAAAAGCCAATGCTTTTTTATTTTTTTATGTGAGAATTAAAAAATGTTAAGTGTTGATCATTATACAAGACTGAAATTTTCTACCAAGGAAATGAATGTGAAAGCGTAGCCTCCTTTTTTTTTTTTCCTGGTAAATAAAGTAACTTATTCTATATATGTTGCTTTAAGAATAGGGCTAGTTCTATTTTTCCACGATATTGTATGATTAGTTTGCCAATAAAGAGTTTTTTTTTTTTTTTTGGTAAAGATAAAGAGTTTTTAATATGCATGACATGGATTACTCAGATCTTGTCAGAGTATTCAATTTTTTTTATTTCTTCTCTTTGTCTTTAATTAATTTTGTCCTCCAATAAATTAGTGCTAATTTAAGTAAATTAAGACAATTAAAAGAGTAACTATATAAATTAAATGGGTATGTATAAATTTTACTTAATCTATAAAATTTAATTAGGACAAAAAATTTAAGACATAACTTTAATTGATTTGTTTGGTGAATATTTAAATAGAAAAATAAGTATTGGAAGTCTTAACTATTTCTCGTCATCCACAATTTTACTAATAAAAATATAATAAATTATCAAAACATAAACAAAATTAAAATGACGAACAAATGAAGTAATGAACAAAACTAATTTATAAGAAAAACGAAAATGTTATATACGCATGCATGACATTTCATTAAATATCTCTCATTTGATCGCCAACCGCGTTTAGGGGGGGAAAAGAAAGAAAAGAGAGAAAATAATGGATCATGATTTATTGGATGTGAAAAAGGAGAGAAAATGAATATGTGCATATGATATTACTTTTAAAAGAATAAAAAATAAGTTAAAATACGATCTTAACCTTATACTTTTTATTTATTTGAGTTTTGATTTATATAATTTTTTTAATGTTAATCGCTATATTTTCATCAATTTGGTTTTTGATTTTTTTTTTAGTACAAGGTTTTTTATTTTTTCAGTCAAAGTATTAGTCCTTATATTTTCACTTTAGTTAAGGTTATTCATTATATTTTTTAATTTATTAAAGTACTAGTTTCTCAAGAATCAAAATTTAAATGACTAAAAATATGGGGACTGATATTAAAAAAATTATAAAATTGAAATTCAAAAGAATAAAAATTAAATAACTAAAATCTTATATAAGATCAAATACCTTAGATAAAATTATCATCCTAATATATATATATATATATATATATATATATATATATATATATATATGTTAATATTTTTCTGACCACAAGTTAAAGTTATCTACAACTATCCTTTATAAATATGTATTGTGGGTAGTACATAGTTATAACATTAAAGTTACTTTTTTTTATCTGTCCTTAGTTATAATATTAATTGATTCACATTTGAATGATTATGATACACTTTTTCTCTCTCTTCCTTTATCATCATTGATCCATCTTTGTACGGTTATGATTTAGTAGTCGGAAATAAGATTATCTCAAACAGATTGAGAAACGATAAACTCATATATATATATATATATATATATATATATATATATATATATATATATATATATATATATATATATATATATATATATATATATATATATATATATATATATATATATATATATATATATATAGTTAATCTCAAATGTTAATTTAATTGGTGAACAAAGTACTCGTAAATAAATATTTTAACTAGAGCAGGTTCTGAACTTCAATATCTACCTAATAAGTATTGAAAGGTTATCTCCAAAGTTCGTTGCTTGGGGAATGCTTTTGTGCTAACCAATGGGAAATTGACTTAATTAACACTATCATGATTCATTTTTGGTCTTTCTTTTGTCGTCGTTCAAAATTTCTATTCCCACGTGGGCTATACAGCTATGATATTGACCAAACAAATTATAAGTAGATTTCTACAACGCCGTTAACGCAACAGTGAAAAAGCACGTTTTCCATAATATATAATAACATATCCTGGAAGGGGAGATTATATTTATAAACTTTTTGTTTATAAACTCTTACAAACTATACTAAGTATAATCGATCTTATTTTAATAAAAAATGTATAACCAGTCATACATTTTGTAATTTATAAAAAAAATTAATAAACTGATCCTTTTCCATTCTCATATACCAAAAAAAAAAAAAAAAACATATCCTCACATAGTCACAATCACACCGCTAGCCGCTGTTGCTGTTACAAAAAATAAATTGTTTATTTTCCGATAATAATAAAATACGGAAAAAAACTTAAAAAATGCAATTAAAAAATTTAATTACATGTTTAATGCAATTCTGAAATATTTTACGGAACAGCCAGTTAAATTTTAGAAAGTCATTAAACATGTAACTAATTTTTAAATTGCATTTTTTAGATTTTTTCAGTAAACTAGTGTGTTATATTTTTTTAAGCATTTAGTGTATATGATGATAATGGCTACCGGAAAGCGCTACTTTCTGATACTGGATTCTGGAGTCATAGAGTTATGCCGTTTCACCTTGCTCAGTTATTTGATCACGATCTTCAGGGAATCTCCTCTTGTAGGGATATAGACCCTGGATAGTTATTTTTCGTTTCTGGTTGTTTGTTTGTTTTTGTTTGGGGCTTCGCCCTTTAATGTTATCAAAAAAAAATTAAAGATTGATGATTTATTAATAAAGTAAAGGATAATTTTAATTTATTTATAAAAAAAACTCGTAACTCCTTCAATATTAACTGTTACAAATTCTTTACTAAAATACTTTCGTTTATATTCTACATTTTTTCTTTTTTTTTGTAATAATATATTCTACATTTTTTCGAAAGAAGATAATAACTAGCAATATCATAAATGAATTTTAGTTTTCTACTTCGTCAAGAGTGTTGTTTAAATACGAGGGAAAAAATGTTAAATGGGGAGAAAAAATAATTCATTAAACTTCAAGCCACCTTGGTTTAGATGACGAGGAGATTAAGATGGGTAAGAATTTAAATATATATAAGTTTATAGATTAAAATCATTGTGATTAAAGAATCATAATCTCAACAAGAAAAACAAATAACTTAAGTTATGAAGTAAATACTTCATAATTAGTAAATAATAATACCGTAAACAAGAAAAATGAAATTTCTTTTATTATGTTTAATAAAGGAGAATATTTTGTACCAAAAAAAAAAAGGATAATATTTTGTAGCCACCTTATACGGTCGGAATGAGTATTAGTTTTAGATTCGATTCACAATTAACGTACCAACCGTGCAACAAAGTCAAATTAGAAATATTGTTTTAAATTAAAATTAGGTAAGTAAATCCATATAAATGTAAACCAGTCTGAAATTTGATTTTGAATATTAAATTAGGAAAAAGTTATTCTATCTATTTTTTTTTATGTCTACCTTACTTACAACTCTCCATTACCGTTAATTATAACCTCTACTAACTTTTATCACTTCTTTCTCCTCTTAAGATTCTGATCTAATAGTTATTGTGAGTGATAAATAATATAGGCATGAAAAAAAATAGATAAAATAACATATCCCATTAAATTAACATATCAAAGATTGTTTGATAAGCCTTGCTGTATCTTTACTGAATTTAAAAAATATATATAAAAAAAAAAGGGACTGTACAACAAAACTAGGGCAAAACACCATGTCCCACGAGAACAATAATTTATAAAAAAAAATAATAATAATCAAAAGCAAAGGAAATAGAAATATAAGAGCATTGATATGGCAGGTGTGATGGATTCTATCTTACACGGGAAGGGATTTGGGGATCCTACCATCAAATATACTTCGATTTTCTTGACCTAGTAATCTATAGTATCTTTGTGAGCCCAAATTAAGCAGATAACCATGAATCCTTTACACTCAAGTGATGAGTTGTACTATCAGATTTCATCTGCTAATTATTCCCTACCAATCCTAACAACCCCTGAAGATCAGATCTTTCATGAGCCTCTGATAAATGTCAGTGCTTTTCCTTCTACAAATCAAATCAGAAAGGGCAAGAAGCAAAAACAGTTATCTACTTGGGGAACAGAAGATTATAAGATTACCACAGATGATAACAAGAAGAGGATGCATAGGGAGATCGAAAAACAAAGAAGGCAAGATATGACAAGGTTTTGCACCACCTTTCGATCTCTTCTGCCTCTTGAATATATTAAGGTAAGTACCATACCTACCATTTATCTTTAGTTTAAGGGTATTAATTATTACATTACAATTATGAATATATCTTGATGAACATCATCAGGGAAAGCGCTCAACTTCTGATCACATACATGAGGGTACAAATTATATCAGGTATCTTCAGAATAAGGTGAAGCAATTGGAAGCCAAGAAGGAGGAGTTAATGAAGTTGTCAAATTTGAGTCCTGTTGGCCCTGAAAGTGGAAGCTTTACTATCCATCGTTCAACCTATGTCACTGTTCATCCTTGTCCTGGAGGTGTTCAGATTAAGTGTAGTTATAGCTTCACTAAGCATGTGTTTCCTTTGTCAAGAGTGCTAGAAATAGTACTTAAAGAAGGACTAAATGTGGTCAACTGTACTTCCACAAAAACAGATGATCACAGATTCATACACACTATCAGATCAGAGGTACCATGTCAGATTAATTGACTGTACATGCAGTGATTATGATTGTCGGTAGTTCAAATTTTGTTTATTTATATCTTTTTATGCCTTGAAGGATCCACATATGATGACTGGGCCTGATTACACTGAACTTCAAAGAAAGCTTATCGAAGCAATATCATCTTCATGTAATTATGTTATAGAATTTTGTGTGATTGACAATTAATATTTTCATATATTTTTTTCTTTAATTTTGTCTAAATATTCATTTTACAGGATTTGAATTTATCATTTGTAGGTTTGGAGGAGACTGTCTGAACCAGAAAGCTGCTGATATATCTTAAGAAAGGTGTCATGTTGTGTGGTGAAGTTTCTGATCTCATAGACTATTAACTTGAGTCATTTGTACATGTCATTGTACCATTATTAGTTGTTACCGCAATGAACCACTGGTTTGATCTGAAATGAATCTAGTTATAAAATTCACAGTGGTCATGCAGTATTCCATAAGCTCATTGATCTCTTTTTCATGGAAGTTAGAACCAAGTCATGCATAATTTTCGTAGCTTAATGTTTTTCATTCACTTGCCTTCCTCATTCAAAATTAGCTAGTTGATAACATTTAAACTACATGAGATATATGCTAGAACTAATTTGCTTCATCAGTAACAGTGACAACTGACAACGATAATTCGAATATAGTACAGCAGCTTAGTGAACTGTGTCATAATTAATTTTGATTATATGATGATATGTAATTAGAATCTCAGTGAAGTCTAATACTGGAAAAGAAGGAATGAAATTATTGAATATTAATCATATTCAATTGAATTGGAGAAACGCATAGACATGTCCATTCTGTGCTTTGGTTTTTGTCTTGATATATTTTCATGCAAAGCGCAGTTTTGGCACAAAAATTTAGTTAGTTAGTTTTCTCCCTACTCAGATAAATTTAACTTAATTTGTAACCGATACATTTTTTGTAAGTTCATCTCTTCCTATCACAGTTTCATATTTTAGATACTTTGATCTAAAAGGAAAATAAGATATCATATATATGCCAGATCCTAACTTATACGTGGGTTAAATGGTGTAGTGTATTGGTACATGCATTTAAGACTATCAAGTAACTGTTATCCAAAATGATGAATAACCTGTGCTAGAGAAATCATTTCAACCAAATGGTGGTAGCTCAGTTGGCGCATAGGAGCTAAGCAGGTGGGGGTGAGAGCATATGTTCGAATCTCCCCAGTACCACCTTTGGGAGGGGCTTAAAGCCTTAATCCTGGACTCGTCCCGAATCGGATTAGTTGCGAAGCAATGAACCGATTGGAATATTTCCAAAAAAAGAGAAATCATTTCAACAATACACACAATTTCATGAAATACGCACAAGAAATTGAAACATACAATAACACATAGTTAAAACGTACCGTACGAAAATATATGAATGCATCAAGGGAAAATCCGAGCCCAGTGTTAGACATTGTGTCCTTAAGACAATATTGTCCTCTCTATGGTGCTTGAGATTTGTGGACAATTGTCTTCTGGGATATAATGGTCTACCTCTATTCTTATGGTGGCACTTCCATATTGAATAGCCTTCATCAAACTCAACCTATGTCTCACCAATCACACTAGAGTAGAAGATCGAATGCAATGGAAAAAAACTATCTTAAAGTTTTGATTGTCTATTTATTTATAGAAAACGTAAGGTCGCGATTCAAAAGGTACCTATTTGACGACGAAACAACATATTCGTTAGACACGAAAGGACACATTCGATCGATGACGAAAAGACACACATTTTCCATATCAAACTTCTTTTTCATAAACATAATTAATTCAAAATTAATTCCAAGAGAATCTATATTGAAAGGAAGGAAAAGCTAATATTAATTGTAAAACAACTCTACTTTTTATGGAAGGAAGGTTTAGGGTAATGTTGAAAAACATGATCCGGCCATCGACTCGGCCGAGGTCAAGGGTCACGGGGTCATGAGTTCAACCGGGGAGTTACGGGGTCACTTCGCTGACTCGATTTATACATTAAAAAATAGAAATATATATTCTATATGAAAAATTCAAAAATTCAAACCACCAGTCATTAAAGATTCAAAATATACTTAACATAATTCAACCAATTACATCCACAAGTCAATATTCACGAGCTAATCAAAGTATAAAACTATTAAAGTATAAAACATATAATCCAATGGAGTTAATGAAAAGTTATATCATCAAACTCAGGCCTTTTTTGTTCTTCTCATACATCTACAATAGTATGTGAAAGAAGATCCCTTACCCAATAGAGAATAGCAAAGGAGAGGCGGCGGCACAACAAATTAATGGTGGGGAGGGAGAGAAGAACCGGAAAGGTGGAGGAAATCATCAGATCAGGGAGACTAGGTCTGGGTCTGGGAGAGAAGATCAGAAGGAAGAAGAACAATTCAGATTTCAGATCTAACTCTAAATCTAAGTAGAAAAGAGTTTTTATTTTTTTTACACATCAAATAACGTTGTTTCACGTATAATTTTTTTTTAAAAAAAATGCAATGACTCCTCTGACTCGGGAGTCACGGGTTCTGTAACACCCCGTATATATCCGGTAATGTTATCATGTTATCGTATTAAGCTGCGCTTAATTAAAATTGCGGAATATCTTTTTCTTTTCAATTATGACGTCATTAATCATTACCAACTTGATTACTTAACCATTTTCAAAACATCGCCTGTATGTATATTGCAATAAACATCTAACTGAAATACCTCATTAATTAAATAACATAAGTATGTCTCTAGTCACGGAACTACCACACGTAGACCGGACCAACTAGCAGTTTATACAACTCAACTCAATAGTATTAACAACATAGTGGCATGGGCAACTCCCATGCTCACCCAAATAAGGCAACAAAGCCCAACATAAGTCTCAACTCAATAACATAATAAAAGTAAGCTAATACATCAAATCAGCAGATATAACCAGCATCCAACAAGTCAGCATAAATAACAGCAATATCATCAACTAAGCTCTGGCCTTCTGTCGCCAGAGACATCAGCCCCCAAATTACCTGAACCTGAAATAAACGCCCCAAACGTGGGGTGAGATCTCTAAACAATAAATCTCAGTAAGACAAGGGGTCCTCAAGGATCTTCCATCCCAAGCTCACTTACATGTGCAATATAAATTCAAAAGCAGTTCATCAATATCATTTCTAAAACAGTGCAATGCAGCAGATAATCATGTCATGCGTGTCAATACTATTCTACTGATCAGAGAAATGCAGGAATACGTCTATTATCCACACAATATGCAAGACGCTACTTGCACCCACCCACGGACTCACCATCTTGTATGACGCTACATACTCAGGCTTACCGACTAAGTGGAAACAACATATACATATTATAAGTCATTGCATATACCAACTCAAAAGCATTTCAAAATATCCAAAGCATGTAACACAACATGCATATAACCATACCCCCATGGGACATGGTGGAACCACAACATGGCTAAACCGAGGACACAAAAGCTTACATTGCAAGCTAACTATCCAATGCCAAGAGTCCAACACAAGCTCAAAGCCCAAACACAGCAGTATCACAATCTGTTATGGACTAATAATATATCATCAATCATACTCTACAAGCATACAGTATTAAGACTACGCCTTTCCTTTACGTTTTACGTCTTAAGGCTTCTAACAAAGCCACAAGCCCTTAATCACTTGATTCTGACTTAGTTCGATTATTACAGAAGTTCCACTTCATCACTCTAGGGTCCACAAACCCTTAAACATCAGTTCTGGATGAACAGTGAGCTACTGTTCCTCGAAAACTCAGAATATCCGGATATTTGTCGGGGACATATCCGGATATCAATATCCGAATAACAAAGGACCCCATATCCGGATATCTATTTCCGGATATCATATCCGGATACACATATCCGGATATTTCGCGACAGACAGCAACTTTTGCATTTCGCGATGATATCCATCCAAGGTTCCATTTTTAACACTTAAAAACGTCAAAGCATGCATTTTTATTCTGTTTTAAGTCCACGTACCAGTTGGTTACTTGTTTAACTCATTAAACATACCAAGACATCAACTTTAACCCATTAAACTCAAGATCAAAGGTGGTAACACTTACCCAAGGTTCAACCAGCCAACCAAAGGTGCTCTTGGAGCTCATAAGACAACTCCAAGGTACTGACTTTGTAGAGAACGAAAATGGACCAACAAAGATAAGTTCTTGCTTCACAAAGGTGACACTTTGAAGCTCAAAATTCCATCACCAAAGTTTCCACAACCCAACTCTCAAACTCAGCTCTCAAACCCAACAAAACAGGGACACCAAACTCAGAAATGATATCATTCACACCTCACAAGACCAATCCACACAAGGCAATGGTGTTTTTGTAGAGAAATCAAGAGTAAAAATGGCTCCTTTGGCTCAAGAGAGTGAGGGAAGGTGAAGGTGGCAAGGCTGAATTCAAAGACTCAGAATTTTCACGTAGGAGGCAGCTAATATGACTTAGGATCATGTGCCACTAAACTTATATAGTCACTTAACCAATAAACACACAGTATTAACTTTAAATGCTACGCTTAGCATTTTAATCCCAAACTCAGGTTTCTTAACCTACTCAATTTTATAGGAATTATCATATTTTTCGGAGCACCTTTCTGGTACGCGCTTTTCCATAGCCAGTATCAGTTTCTGGCATAAGTTCTCATTATTTTAACTTGAAACTCATTTTACAAGTCCTATATATTATTCTAGGAATTATCATGCACTTATTATAATTTTCTGGGATACTTTTTCGATACGCATTTATACCGACTAGCAGAACCGGTATCTGCACTTTTCGTCAGAAAAGCGACTTGCAACATTATTACCCACTTACTAATATTATTAAAGCCTCATAATAATTATTAGGGTCAATTATGAAATTATTTCCTAATTTCACATAATTAATTAATTAACTTCCTTAATTAACGGTGCGGGTTCTTACAGGTTCAACCGTGAGATTTCGGGGGTTAAATGGGTCAACATGTAAGTAGGGTTGTCCATTCATATATTTTTGTACGGTACGAAGAGAGAGGAGGGGGTCAGTAACCCGATGGAGTCGACCCCAGGATGGGGCATGGATTTAAAACACTGATTTAGGGTGGTTTGAATAATATCTCCGCATCGCAAATATATCGCAAATAATTGTGTGTTATACAATATCTATCATAGACACTCCATTTAATATCAAACATCAGTTAAGTCATAGAGCTCATGCAAAGAATATACTAGTTTCT